CGGTATAGGTACAAATCCTTCGGGAGTTGAACCTGAACCTATTGCTCATGTTAATAAAGGAAGTTCTGCCCTTGAAGGTGTAGGTGCTATTCCTGTAGATAATAAGCAAAGTATGTGTATTCGTAATTTTTTTTCTTTCTTCGATTCAATAAGACCTAATGCTTGAATTATTTATTTATTTAAATTTAGAGCAAGAAAATCTAACTCAACCACAACCTAAAAATGCTACTGAATATGTAACTGGTGCTCTTAGTAATGCATATACTACTGCTAAGGTATGATAATATACGTAAAGAATTCTAACTCGCAGCTCTTAATATTGTTGACTTTTTTTTATAAAAAAATATTAGGATACTCTTGGTAACATTATAGGAACTAATCAAACATCAACTACAACCGATAAGGCTCATGCCCAAAAATCCGATAAATAGATCTATTCGTTTTGAGTAACCCACTTTTCTGGCTTTTCTCTTTGTAAAAAATTCCTAAAGGAGCAAATTTACCTTTTGCTTAGATCGTAGCCCTATATATAATGATTCCTTAAATGTAAATCAAAACTTCTCGATTGAAAAAAAAATTTTTTTAAAGCAAATATACATTCTTAGCACCTGAACTGCTTCAAATCATTATTCTAAATAAAAAATTTTTAAAAAGCTGATTTCGTTTTTTATTGAATTTATAACCAATATAATCTGAAATGCAAACACGATTTTTTATAAATCGGAAGAAGAATTCTTTTTTTCAAACAATATAAGAGAGTTTGTTAACGTTTTTTAACAAGAAAACTACACAAAAAAAATTCAATTCTTTTTAATAATAGTTAATTTTTCTCAAAATTTGCAGAATGTCCGTACTTATTTAAAGATCACACGACTAATTATTTTATGCGTACTGATCTGATTCATAAATAAATTCTTTTCTCAAATCAAAAATATTTTCAAAGCTAATAATGTCTTCATTTAATGTCTCAAAGCTCTATTCAAAAATATAATTGAACGCACAGTTTATAATAACAAAATTTCAAGAATAAGTATCAAACTTGCAAAATCAAGTTCAAGAAGAAAAAAAAGAGTTTACTAGTTGCAGATCAAAATACTCGTGAATAAACAACTTCAGCAAAAAAATAAAACATTCTGAAAATTGAAAATTTAATACAAAGGGAAAATGTTATTAAGAGAATGGATTTTCTACAGGGATTTGTGAGAGGGTTGAGTTTTAGCTTCAGTAGGTTGGTCTGGTTGGAATTTGTCTTCTTAAATAGTCAGTGACGAGA